TTTGTATTTTTTTCGGTGTGTTTTACTCTGTGTTCTCATGTGTAAATGGCTGTTTATTAATCCACTTGCTCTCTGTGAATGTAAGCACTTTGTAACTATGTTTTTTAAGGTGCTATATAAATAAATAACGCTTATTATTATTATTATTATCATTTATACCAAAGCAAATTCCTTGCCTTATCTTTAATTTGTGTCTTTGAACGCACCATTTTTTAAGTATTCTTATTGCATATATTTGTGTTTTACTTTGTGTTCTTATATTTAGATGTTTTTTAAATCCACTTGCTCTCTGGGTATTTAAGCATGTTGTAACTATGTTTTGAAAGATGCTAAATAATACTATTATTATTAATATCAAAGCAAACCTTGTATGTGTAAACCTACTTGGTAATACAACAGATTCTGACCTATTAAACCTGCACAGCTCTCCACTTTGAACATAGTATTTGTCAAATTTAATTACATTTGACTGTGCTCAGTTCGGTGTAAACTCTCTCTATTTGTAATTTGTTGCACTAAAACCCCAGCACACACACTCACCCTGGAGGAATGACTTGTCCCAGTTGACAGCACAGCTCCTTCACTACTCCAGCTCGGTCTGCTTTCACCTTTTTCTCGGGTAGCCTGGCTGTTTCTGCGCCTTTATCCTGGCTTATAGGAGCACACAGAGCTAACACAGAGTCCACATTCACAAGAGTTCCAGGCTTCACTTTCCACTCCAGTAGCCGAAGAGGGAGAGCTGTAAGCGGCCAGCGGATCTCAGCCACCTGCACCACGGGGCCCTGGTCTGAATCTGCAGGAGGATCCTCCATCTGGTCCAAAAAGAGTGAGCAAATCCTGTCGTTTTCTCTGCAAAGGTCCGCTAGAAGAAGTCCTCGCAATGCACCATTAAATCCTGCAAAAGCACCAGCATGAAGAGGAGAATTTAAGAGAAAATGTGCGGCCGATTTTAAACACAGTACTAGCTTCCAGTCAGTTCGCTCTTCCCGCCCGTAAACAGGAAAGCGCAACACTGCAGCGACACGGGTCACTGCTACTTCCGGTGGAATAAAGACAGCCACATGGAAACACTTTTCAAAATAAAATGCCTGCAAAAAAACAGCGCCAAGTAGTGTAATCCCTCCAGAGGTGGGAAGTAGTGGAGTACAAATACGTTGTTACTGTACTTAAGTACATTGTTCTGGTATCCACTACTTTTTACTTTGACTTCTTACATTTTGAACACAAATACCTGTACTTTCTACTTCTTACATGTTGAACACAAATACCTGTACTTTCTACTTCTTACATGTTGAACACAAATACCTGTACTTTCTACTTCTCACATTTCCCAAACAGGCTGGTTCCTTTAGTTTGAATGTGTGTTTGGTGGCGTGATCATTATTATTTAGAGTCATTGCGTGCCTATTGATTTGAACACGATCCGTGTATCCATCATTTCCTGGTCTTCTCTAAAGAAGAGGGACCAATGAAAACGTTGTCATGTTGCCGTTGTTCAGCATGGAAACATTCATTAGCTAACAATGACATTATTGTTCTATTAATATAAAGGGAGGTCAGGTACTCTTTAAAACAGCTGCTAGTTATGGGTACTTTTTAATGAAGTACATTTCAAAGCCTCTTTACTTTTACTTGAGTAAAGAAGTTTAGTCAGTACTTCTACTTTTACCAGAGTATTTTTAAACACGAGTATCTGTACTTCTACTTGAGTAAAGAAGTTTAGTCAGTACTTCTACTTTTACCAGAGTATTTTTAAACACGAGTATCTGTACTTCTTCTTGAGTAAAGGATGTGTGTACTTTTACCATCTCTGAATCCCTCACTGTCAAAAACACCTTATTTAAAGTCAGTCCTGTCCTCAGATATTATACTTTTAACACCGATCTCAGGACTGGCTTAAACTGGGAAAAACAGCCTTCAGATATTTTTGCCTTATTGATCTGTAAAGAAATAGACTGAAACATGACATGTATTTATATAAAATAAGATAAGATGTACTTTATTAATCCCAATTAATTAAAAGAAAGCTCGACAGCGGCTCTTCTTCCTTCGCAGGCTGAGGAGGTTCAACATGGATTCCAGGATACTCTGCAACTTCTACAGGTGCACGATAGAGAGCATCCTGACCTTCTACAGGTGCACCATAGAGAGTATCCTGACCTTCTACAGGTGCACCATAGAGAGTATCCTGACTGGCAGCATGACGGCCTGGTACGGCAGCTGCACCGACCTCGATCGTAAGGCTTTACAGAGGGTGGTGAAAACTGCACAGCACATCACCAGGACGGAGCTGCCATCCATGGAGGACCTTTACTCCCAGCGGCTCAGGAAGAAAGCCCTCAGGATTATAAAAGACCCCCATCACCCCAGCCACAAACTGTTCTGTCTGCTGCCGTCTGGCAGACGTTACCGCTGCATCCTGGCAAGGACAAGAAGATTCGGAGACAGTTGCTTCCAGTGAGACTGTTAAAAAATTGAACTGTTGAAACAACTTCAAACATTCATCTGCTACTCAGTATTATGTATCTAATACCTAATATATATATATATATATCATTCCAATAACTTGTATATAGACTCGTACTGCACTATTCCACATCATCACTTTATTTTATAACTATTATTATTTTTGTATTGCTCTTGCTCTTATTGTTATTATGTTATTATGTTGCATTGTTGGAGAAGCCTGTGACATAAGATTTTCAACTACATAATTACTCTGTAGCTATGTCAGATTGACAATAAAGAACCTTGAACCTTGAAAAGTACACGATATACCTCTGAACTGTAGTGGAGTAGAAGTACAAAGTAGCATAACATGGAAATACTCAAAGTACCTCAACATTGTACTTAAGTACAGTGCTTGATTAAATGTACTTAGTTACTTCTCACCTCTGGCCATATAGTTTATTAAAACCTGTTGGTTAGTTACAGTCTGGTGTTTTTTGTGAGCAAATATACACATTTTATTTTGAAGGCCAATCCTGACTTCCGGTTTCACTGTAGTTAAATGCAGTTACTTCACTCTGACAGAAACGCACATGATGCGACGTATTACGCACAAAAAAAACATTTGAAATGAATGGTAATTTATTAAAAACAGAAATTAAAAAGACATCTGATCATGATGCCAGGATCCACCCAACCTTTGTTTAGCCCTTAACTTGTTTTGATGTCTTGTTTTGCAACTTTCCATTAGGGTTGACATGAGGACCCTGGAGCCTACAGAGACTACATGATGTAAGATGGTGTAACTTATACACACTAATAGCTCATTTAGCATCGTAGCAAGCTTGTTTGCGTAAGTGCATTAATTCTATAAGTTTATATAACTTAAGAACTGTATTTAAGTACAATTTTATACTCTTAAATCAGACTTTAGTTCCACCTGGAGTAAATTCACAAGCTACCCTGCAGTATACAAACTCATTCAAACTAGCTGCACCTTTACCAGCTTTGAGAACACTTTAATGATCAATCATTATAAAACATATCATATATATTATTCTGAAATGGATCAATCTGCACAATAACTTATTTTACTGTCGCTACTTTCACTATATTTTGATGATAATACTTTTCTACTTTTACTTGAGTAACATTTTGAATGCAGGACTTTTACTGAAACAGAGTATTCCTACTCTCTGGTACTTCTACTTTTACTCAAGTACAAGATCTGAGTACTTCTACTTTTACTAAAGTACAAGATCTGAGTACTTTTACTTTTACTAAAGTACAAGATCTGAGTACTTCTACTTTTACTCAAGAACAAGATCTGAGTACTTCTACTTTTACTAAAGTACAAGATCTGAGTACTTCTACTTTTACTAAAGTACAAGATCTGAGTACTTCTACTTTTACTCAAGAACAAGATCTGAGTACTTCTACTTTTACTGTCGCTACTTTCACTATATTTTGATGAGAATACTTTTCTACTTTTACTTGAGTAACATTTTGAATGCAGGACTTTTACTGAAACAGAGTATTCCTACACTCTGGTACTTCTACTTTTACTACAAGTACAATATCTGAGTACTTTTACTTACTGTATACTCAAGTACAAGATCTGAGTACTTCTACTTTTACTCAAGTACAAGATCTGAGTACTTCTACTTTTACTCAAGTACAAGATCTGAGTACTTCTACTTTTACTCAAGTACACACTAATAGCTCATTTAGCAATAATTAACTTTTAAGATTTAAGTTGGAGGAGGAGGAGGAGGAGGAGGAGGAGGAGGAGGAGGAGGAGGAGGAGGAGGAGGAGGAGGAGGAGGAGGAGGAGACATGCATATCAAGTATGCCGTTATAGGACAAGGGCATTGGTATGATCAGTGACGTTTCATGACGTCACAAAGAGTGCAGTGCAGCAACAAGATAGATATCTGAAAACTCCGGTAGTCCGTCATGGAAGGTTTTACAGGGATTCGTTCACGATAATAACTGACTGAGTAAATGAATTTAAATACAATACTTAATCAATGTAGAGGCACTTTGACTTTACTCGAGGACTGCTATTTTATACTTCTACTTTACTACAATTCAGAGGATTTAAAAAAACATTTCTACTGCAATTGATTCATAAGAAATCAGGGATATGTATACGTTTAGGATTTGTTGTTTATGTAGACCGTGAGGATAACAAATCTATAAACTCTGACAATAAAACACTATTGAAGGGCTTCAGACACAATGTAAAGCAGGATATTATTTACATTAAGTGTGTTACATTAAATATACATTTGTGTTATTTAATATAATTTTTGTTTGAATATGTATATAATCTGCTAAATGTTGTTCAACTATGCATGTTTTAAACTTTATTATTATTATCATTATTATTGTTATTATCAATGATAATAACAATAATAATGATCTTTGAGGCCACAAAAAGTACATTTTATGTCTTGTGAAGTAGACTGAAGTGAAACCGGAAGTAGTTGGGGGTGCACCATCTCCCTCTCTCTGTCACTCATCCACTCTTTGTCCGCAGATTGATTAGAACTATCACCAGTGTTCGGCTACATTCCGCTCAGGAAGGACGTCCAAATTTGGTGATTAAATCATCACTGAAATTGGCGATATTTTACCTTCCCAGGAGACATGGCAGGGGAGACCAGCCGAGGGGTAAATAAACATTATTTCTCATACATGTTGAGCTCCGTTTGACAGTAGCTTTAGCTCAAGTTAGCTACTTAACCAGCAGACACATTATCAGCAGGTCGTATTAGCCAACACTCCAATGGATTAATGTGGAGACATGGGAAGTCACTGAGATTAACTTAAGAACTGTATTTAAGTACAATGTTATACTCTTAAATCAGACTTTAGTTCCACCTGGAGTAAATTCACAAGCTACCCTGCAGTATACAAAGTCATTCAAATTAGCTGCACCTTTACCAGCTTTGAGAACACTTTCATGATCAATCATTATAAAACATATCATATATATTATTCTGGAATGGACCAATCTGCACAATGACTACTTTTACTGTCGCTACTTTAACTATACTTTGATGATAATACTTTTCTACTTTTACTTGAGGAACAATTTGAATGCAGGACTTTTACTGTAACAGAGTATTCCTACGCTCTGGTACTTCTACTTTTACTCAAGTACAAGATCTGAGTACTTCTACTTTTACTCAAGTACAAGATCTCAGTATTTCTACTTTTACTCAAGTACAAGATCTGAGTACTTCTACTTTTACTCAAGTACAACATCTGAGTACTTCTACTTTTACTCAAGTACAAGATCTCAGTATTTCTACTTTTACTCAAGTACAAGATCTGAGTACTTCTACTTTTACTCAAGTACAACATCTGAGTACTTCTACTTTTACTCAAGCACAAGATCTGAGTACTTCTACTTTTACTCAAGTACAACATCTGAGTACTTCTACTTTTACTCAAGTACAACTTATACTTGAGTAAAAGTAGAAGTACTCTGATATTATTGAACATAAACACGTACGAATTACTATATATAACTATCTTTAACCCTTAATGGGCAATCACATTTAAATATTTGGGAACAATAATTGATTGTTTTGTACATTGCACCCATATTACACAGTTACACCAATCCATATTGCACCCATGCGACACCGTATTACATCATATTACACTGTAATTATACAGTTAATACACCTATGTAACACCCATATTACACTGTAATTACACATCAGTACACCCCTATCATCACCCATATTATACCCATTTTACACTGTTATTTAATCTATATTACACATGGACACAGCCTGTCAAATGACTGTATCTAAGGGTTCATTGGTAAGGGTAATTAACCAATATATGTGAGTTAAATATATCAAAATGTGGTTTGTCTTGACCAAAAAGTCTCTAAGTAATTGAGACAAATGAAAGATGTGCTGCAACCGTCCCTAATACTTATTATTGTGGATTAGATTAGACAAAGCCACACTTAATTAGGCTATTTCTTCTTAGGAAAACCCTTTTGTTAAGTGACAGAGGGTTTGTTTGATATTCCTGTGCTCAGGTCCCTGACATCACGCTATCTGAACATCCAATCGTCAGCACTGGAGACATTTTGTCCCTCAGAGGCAGACAAACAAAAACAAACAGCACCAGGACTGGTCAAAAGGGCCTTGATCCAGACCACACACACACACACACACACACACACACACACACACACACACACACACACACACACACACACACACACACACACACACACACACACACACACACACACACACACCAGGCATTGCACATAAGTAGAGATCAAAGAGTAGACAACATAGACAATTCTAGAAATTAAACATCTAAAAAAAGAAAACACACACTCACAAAAAACAAGGCATTGCACATGAGTAGAAATTAAAGAGTTGACATAGACAATTCTAGAAATACACGCACGCACGCACACACACACACACACACACAATCCCCACAGGAACAATTTGGGGTGAAGTGTCTCAGGGACACAACGACATGCTGACTGCAGTGGGACTCGAACTTGCTATCCCCTGATTCGAAGTCCAGCACACTACCCACTGAGCCACAGCCTCCCTATATCCAATATCCCTTGGTTAAAAGAAAACTAAACAATCAGTAAATATTTGAATAACCTCTTTCAATCAAAATGCCAAACATGCCTGAGTTCCCGCTTCTCAATCGTGCCAATGTTGCTCCTTTTTCTCAGTTAATATCATCATTTCAAACTGAATATAAATGCATGTTTGGATTGTTTGTCAGTCCAAAATAAGCCTAACCCTGTGCTTTAAAACTTAGAAAGTGTCACACAGGGATTTGAGTCTTTTCAGACCATTAACATGCACCAAAAAACCCAATACAACACACTACAGGAGAGGGGAAACTCACACAAGCTTAATAGGGTCTCTTTACACAAGCATCAAAGCAGCACTGAATACATTCAAGTAATTGCAAACAGGCACATGACTCAATATGAACAATGCAGCGTTTCATGAGAATCTCTTTCAATGACGGAAAACATGTTGGTTAAAATCTGTGAAACCTTTAGTTCACCATACCAAACCAACCACACCTTGGCCAAGATTCAAGATCCAGATTCAAGGCTTTATTGTCATGTGCGCAGCAGCTACAGTGTAGAAATGGCAATGATTAACGTAAGTCTCCTCCAATAGTGCCACATGAATAGATACAGGACATAGAACACATGATAGCACATACAGAGGCAGGGTTTGCTCAAGCCAAAGCACCAGAGTTTGGTTTATTTGTAGCTCATGTTGCCGAAGAAGTGATTCTCATACATGGTGTGTTTCTGTCTCTGTAGTTGAGGGTGTGTCTGCGTCACATGGCTCTGCTCCGAAGATCTCCTCCTCTCATCTCCTCGCTCCAAAACACCAGATCCTTCAGTTCAATCAGGTACCAGATCACAGCTCCCAGTATCAACTTTACAGTGTGTCCAGCTAAAAGGTTATGGGTACTTTTGACTGAAGTACATTTCAAAGCCTCTTTACTTTTACTTGAGTAAAGAAGTTTAGTCAGTACTTCTACTTTTACCAGAGTATTTTTAAACACGAGTATCTGTACTTCTACTTGAGTAAAGGATGTGTGTACTTTTGCCATCTCTGAGCTTATCCAAAAAGTCTTCAGTCTCCTCTTGAAGAGAGTCTGCCTGATAGCTGACGGATCTACAGTCACCACTAATAACCCTGCATCCTAGGGCTGCTCGATTATGGCAAAAATCATAATCTCGATTATTTGGGTCAATAATTGATATCATGATTATTAAAAACGATTATCCATTTACTTTGAAAACATCAATTTATTGAAAATAAAATGGGAACAGTGTGTTTTTAACAGTTGATTACCCTGAACTTTAAGTATAATTCAACTGAAAAACCAATTAAAAAAAAAAAAAAAAAAATCGTTTTATTTCAATTATGTTGTTTTCATAATCGTTGCAAGCCAAAATCGTAATTGCGATTGTTACGAACCCACTAGGGATGAGTAAGGTAACACACACCAGATGGTTTTGGTAAGTAATTATAATCGGGTTTTAATGAAATAACACAAAGGTGTACAACAAAAAGGGAGCAAAGTTAACCTAAGCCAAACAAAGAAGCCAAAAGGACGCAAGTCTACTGCTAATAACAGAAAAAGGACTCTAAAACATGAGCCTAGTTATCACACCTGAGATCACTTCCAATCAGCACTAATGGAAGGAGCTGCAGGAAAACACAGCTAACAAAATAAACTAAACACACCACTTTAAACACATATATCAACTCTCGACACTAAGCACATATATCAACACTCAACACACGACACTAAGCACATATATCAACACTCAACACTAAGCACATATATCAACACTCAACACTAAGCACATATATCAACACTCAACACACGACACTAAGCACATATATCAACACTCAACACACGACACTAAGCACATATATCAACACTCAACACACGACACTAAGCAGATATATCAACACACGACACTAAGCACATATATCAACACTCAACACACGACACTAAGCACATATATCAACACACGACACTAAGCACATATATCAACACACGACACTAAGCACATATATCAACACTCAACACACGACACTAAGCACATATATCAACACTCAACACACGACACTAAGCACATATATCAACACTCAACACACGACACTAAGCACATATATCAACACACGACACTAAGCACATATATCAACACTCAACACACGACACTAAGCACATATATCACACCAAACACAGTCTGTAGTGTCCACGACACAAGAGCAAAAGGTATGAGGCGTCTGATCGCAGCAGAGCCTATCGAGTGATAATTGTCCCCAGGCTTTGTAGTAATCTCCGGAAGGTGTGCTCTGGGATTGCACGGGGATTGGAGAGCGTCGGGCCCGGCGTGCTCCAATCAGCGTCTTTGGAGGAGGACCAGGAGATGACAGCCAACGACATTGGGGCAACCACACAGCTCATTTACATATTACACACAGCTGCAAACAATCTCAGACAGGTTAACGAGCAGACAGAAACAGCAGCCGTAACAGCGATTAAAATACGATTAATTGAGCAGCCCTACTGCATCCTTGTAATTTCTCCATCCATGCTGTTGTTGCCGTCTTGATAATTGTTAGAAAAATATCCCTCGGTCCCCGGCTTGAGCTTCAATCTCAGGATCCATGTATCTGTGATCCTCTCCAGAATGGAAGTAGTCATCACATACAGAGCATCAACTAGTTCCTGAACAGTGTCCTTCACATGCTGATATCCAAGAGAGGGAGTTACACAGTCACAAGATGGAGGAATAGAAAGCAGTATTCAATGTTTACTTCAGATTAGCTCCACGTCAGAAATGATCATGCTTGTCATGTGTCTATCTCCATAGAGGCTGAATCATCATGTTAATCACATAGCTATCATATGCCTCAAACAGTCCTGATGCTCTTCTAGGTAATCAGACATCCTGTCATGTTCACAGCTACAGTTGGGATACCTTTGTTAGCATGTGTACTCTGATACTGGAAGAGGACATTCAGTATTTCCCCATCAGTAAATGTGTGTGTTGCTGCTCTCAGGGAAGTGAAGCGCAGAGGTCTGGTCTGGAAGACTCTGCTGGGTTTCTCTGTGGGCGTCCCTGTGGCGGCGGGCGTTCACTACGCTGCGTCGGAGCCTCGAGACAGGAGGAGGACGAAGATCCTGATCCAAGGAATCACTCGCTTCTGCAGGTTTGGAAAATATCAGTTTCATCATTACTTCAGTAAAGCTTAGCCCCAATAAGCTACGACACTATAACCCCTCAGTCTAATAGATTCATTTTCATCCTTCACCTCAAAAGTAACGTAATTTCTCTTCAAGGCTTTTTGTCGTTTCCTTATTTTTCCTTAATTTCCCAGAACCTTATTGTTTGAAAGTTGTAGATTTGATGTTCCCATATATCGGAAGTATTGTTTCACTATCTGCGTTTTATATTTCCATTTTCATTCACAACACCAACATAATGATTTATGATCTGTTTTCGTCAGATCTCTGTCTGTGGGACTCTCTATCTCCGGGGACTACTGGTGGACGACCAACGTGTCTCTGAGGGGACAAGATGAGGTAATTTCTCAACACACCCTTAACATCACAACACAGCAACAGCAAGGATGAAAGGCAAGTAGATAGAGGCGAAAGGATCAAAGAGAACAATAAACAACACACGTTACTACATACATGTCACATATCATGGACCCCTCGTTTCTGACAACATGTAACACAACATGTAACACAACATGTAACACACACTCCACTTCCAACACAGACGAGTGTTACTACATACATGTCACATATAGCACATCACAATCAACAGAAACGAGGGGTCCATGATCACAACATGTAACACAACATGTAACACACACTCCACTTCCAACACAGACGAGTGTGTGTGGTTCTCAGTGAACCATGAAAACATGTTTTTATTTAGTGATATAGGAGATACAAGACAAGTGCATACAAGTACAGTGCCACAGATACACAGAAGACAGTAAGGTGAGTTTACAAGTACAGACAAATAACAAAATATACATGGAGACAGAGAAGAAACTAAAAGTGTGTGTGTGTGTGTGTGTGTGTGTGTGTGTGTGTGTGTGTGTGTGTGTGTGTGTGTGTGTGGTGTGTGTGTGTGTGTGATGTGTGTGTGTGTGTGTGTGTGTGTGTGTGTGTGTGTGTGTGTGTGTGTGTGTGTGTGTGTGTGGTGTGTGTGTGTGTGTGTGTGTGTGGTGTGTGTGTGTGTGTGTGTGTGTGTGTGTGTGTGTGTGTGTGTGTGTGTGTGTGTGTGTGTGTGTGTGTGTGTGTGTGTGTGGTTCCCTCCTGTTGTGGGAAGTCTGACACCTCTGACCCATTTACTGAAATCAACATGCAGGCTGTCACAAGTTCAAAACCGTGATGCCTGTTCCTCCTCAGTGAGCTATTTTTAGAATGTGCACGCGATGTTCCATTTATATGAGCTGATCAGATTTTGGCCACTTTATGATGTCATCACGATGTTTTGTCTTGTGTAACCCATTAGCCAACCAAGGTAACCCCCCCCCCCCCCCACCTTATCACCTGAATCTCCTCCTAGAGCACCATTGAGTTCTTTGTAACCAAATCTCTCTCAGAGGGGCGTGGGGAGGGGCTCCTTATTTTCATCTAAAGTAACAGACAGAGAATCAGCACTTTGGAAACAGGGCTGAAACAGAGGGGATTATGGGTAATGCTGCAATGATCTGTTTGGTGTTTCAGCCAATCAGAGACAGGTTCTGTATATATCTGAGACCTGTAGTATATTGATGAAAAACAGTATAATAGGAGACCTTTAAGTGAGCTGTAAAGGTGGGCAGTTGTATTGTGTGTACAGTCCTGTTACCTCTGCTTCCCCCTGTTAGAGCAGCACATCGTATGTCTCTGAGATGTCGGCCTGCCACCAGAGGGCAGCAGAGTGCATGGTGAGAGGAGCCATCAGAAACGGGGGGATTTACATCAAACTGGGCCAGGGTCTTTGTTCCTTCAACCACCTTCTGCCGCCCGAATACATCCGGACCCTGCAGGTCCTCGAGGATAAGGCTCTGAGCCGGAGGTCCAGAGAGGTGAGGAGGGAAACTGGAAAGTAACCAGAGGTGGGAAGTAGTGGAGTACAAATACTTCATTACTGTACATTTCTCTGGTATCAGTACTTTACTCCACGACGACTTTTGACTTTGACTTTTTGAACCCAAATACCTGTACTTTCTACTTCTTACATGTTGAACACAAATACCTGTACTTTCTACTTCTTACATGTTGAACACAAATACCTGTACTTTCTACTTCTTACATTTTGAACCCAAATACCTGTACTTTCTACTTCTTACATGTTGAACACAAATACCTGTACTTTCTACTTCTTACATGTTGAACACAAATACCTGTACTTTCTACTTCTCACATGTTGAACACAAATACCTGTACTTTCTACTTCTTACATGTTGAACACAAATACCTGTACTTTCTACTTCTTACATGTTGAACACAAATACCTGTACTTTCTACTTCTCACATGTTGAACACAAATACCTGAACTTTCTACTTCTTACATGTTGAACACAAATACCTGTACTTTCTACTTCTTACATGTTTAACACAAATACCTGTACTTTCTACTTCTCACATTTCCCAAACAGGCTGGTTCCTTTAGTTTGAATGTGTGTTTGGTGGCGTGATCATTATTATTTAGAGTCATTGCGTGCCTATTGATTTGAACACGATCCGTGTATCCATCATTTCCTGGTCTTCTCTAAAGAAGAGGGACCAATGAAAACGTTGTCATGTTGCCGTTGTTCAGCATGGAAACATTCATTAGCTAACAATGACATGATTGTTCTATTAATATAAAGGGAGGTCAGGTACTCTTTAAAACAGCTGCTAGTTATGGGTACTTTTTACTGAAGTACATTTCAAAGCCCTCTTTATTTTTACTTGAGTAAAGAAGTTTAGTCAGTACTTGTACTTTTACAAGTACAAGATCTGAGTACTCCTCCCACCTCTGGCCTCTGCCTGACTTCCTGCTTCTCCAACGTGAGGCTTTGCTTCTTGCTGTTGTTCTGAAAGGCATATTTCTCTGCAACAGGTGGACGCTCTCTTTCAAGAAGACTTCAGTAAAACCCCGCAGCAGATTTTCAAATCTTTTGACCCTGAACCCATCGCGGCTGCCAGCCTGGCGCAGGTCCACAGAGCGGAGCTGTTCGACGGGACTCCTGTCGCTGTGAAGGTGAGAAACGTCAACGTCTGTATGTTCTGAACAGAGAATATGAACTGCTACCATCTAATGGGAGATTCAATAAAGTCAGACTGAAGCATCCTTTGTGCTCCAGTCGATCCTCACAGTGAACACAGAGCTGAATCCAGATCAGATGCACGCTGAAGGCTCTTTGAGCAGCTTCTCTCTCACTGATTGTGCTGTTATGTTCAATGTTTGTTGTTTGTTTCTCATGTATTGTGTCTTGATATTTGTCTGTTGATGTTACACATGGAGCTGCTGGGATGCAAGGAGCATGTCAGACTTGATTGAGTCGTATCGTATCTCTGTCACTTTCTTTAAAGTGGACCTATCATGCTATATTTGAATAATATAGTGTAGGACCATACCTATATAAGGCATATTTATACTTTTTTTTTTCAAAATACCAAACAGATCATGCATTTTAGCCATGCCTCATTTCGCTCAATTTGACATTTTTTAGCTCTGTTTTAGCAAGGGCAGATTCTGTGAGAACAGCACCACCTACAGGCCTGGCATATGTACTACAGCGTCTCCAGCGCTTTCGAACGGCAATGGCCGTGGCTGTCTCCTCCTGATTGGTGGAGTTGGCCCAATAGCCGTAGCGCCACCGTCCTGACGTCAGGACAGTGTTCAAATCTGGATCAGTTTTTATCAGATCCGTTGCAGCCCCTTTTTTAGAGATTTGGGTATGGAGGAAAATAGAGAGGGTTGTGTTTTCTGACACTTGGTGAGTTCCCTGGAACACCGGGGACACATATTCATGTAGAAAAGACGTACTAAAGTGCATTTTGCATGATAGGTCCCCTTTAAGGGTTATAATATCCTCTGGTTGGAAGTAATCCTTTAAAAGTCTGTTTTTGTTTAATTCTGGTCCCCTCAGGTGCAGTACATCGACCTCAGGGATCGCTTCGATGGTGATATCCGGACTTTGGAGGTCCTGATGGATATTATTAAATTCATGCACCCCAGCTTTGGATTCAGATGGGTTCTAAAGGTCATTTTGATTTCCTTAGAAGACAAACACATAGATATTAAGACCAATATATTTACTGGCATTATTTTGTCAAATCTACTTATTTACTTCAGTTAATACCAAATATTTATACATTTTCTGACTTTAAACCCTTGAAATGAATGCTGGTTTATCAACGCATCTCTTTTATCCCACTTTCTGTAGGACTTGAAGGGCACGTTGGCTCAGGAGCTGGACTTTGAGAACGAGGCCAGGAATTCAGAGCGGTGTGCAGAGGAGCTCAAACACTTCAGCTTCGTCGTCATACCCAAAGTGTTCTGGGAGCACACGACTAAGGTGAGGTTTATTATTATTATGAACTGTAGAAAAGAGCTCCATCCTTTCCGTAGCTGAAGCTTTCTCCGTGTTTGTGTCTCCGTTTCAAAGAGAGTTCTGACGGCAGAGTTCTGCGACGGATGCAAAATCAACGACGTGGAGGAAATAAAAAGACAAGGACTGAGTCTGAAGGATGTGAGTCGATGATCGATTCAGAGTATTCAGAGGATTCAGAGGATTCAGAGTATTGTATTCAGAGTATTCAGAGTATTGTATTCAGAGTATTCAGAGTATTCAGAGTATTGTATTCAGAGTATTCAGAGTATTCAGAGTATTGTATTCAGAGTATTGTATTCAGAGTATTCAGAGTATTGTATTCAGAGTATTCAGAGTATTGTATTCAGAGGATTGTGAGTATTCAGAGTATTCAGAGTATTGTATTCAGAGGATTGTATTCAGAGTATTCAGAGTATTGTATTCAGAGTATTCAGAGTATTGTATTCAGAGTATTCAGAGTATTCAGAGTATTCAGAGTATTGTATTCAGAGTATTCAGAGTATTGTATTCAGAGTATTCAGAGTATTGTATTCAGAGTATTCAGAGTATTGTATTCAGAGGATTGTATTCAGAGTATTCAGAGTATTATATTCAGAGTATTATATTCAGAGTATTATATTCAGAGTATTGTATTCAGAGTATTCAGAGTATTGTATTCAGAGTATTCAGAGTATTGTATTCAGAGTATTGTATTCAGAGTATTCAGAGTATTGTATTCAGAGTATTCAGAGTATTGTATTCAGAGTATTCAGAGTATTGTATTCAGAGTATTCAGAGTATTGTATTCAGAGGATTGTATTCAGAGTATTCAGAGTATTATATTCAGAGTATTATATTCAGAGTATTATATTCAGAGTATTGTATTCAGAGTATTCAGAGTATTGTATTCAGAGTATTCAGAGTATTGTATTCAGAGTATTGTATTCAGAGTATTCAGAGTATTGTATTCAGAGTATTCAGAGTATTCAGAGGATTGTATTCAGAGTATTCAGAGTATTGTATTCAGAGTATTCAGAGTATTGTATTCAGAGTATTATATTCAGAGTATTATATTCAGAGTATTGTATTCAGAGTATTCAGAGTATTGTATTCAGAGTATTCAGAGTATTGTATTCAGAGTATTGTATTCAGAGTATTCAGAGTATTGTATTCAGAGTATTCAGAGGATTGTATTCAGAGTATTCAGAGGATTGTATTCAGAGTATTCAGAGTATTGTGGAAACGCTCTGAAATACCTCGTCATATATCTGTTTTTCAGACGGCAGATAAACTGATCCAAACGTTCGCTGAGCAGATCTTCTACACCGGCTTCATCCACGCTGACCCTCACCCCGGAAACGGTCCGTACATCAGAGGCATTTTTAGTTTTAATAGCTATTGCTTTTTCTTTGAGTCTCGCAATTACGACATCATCAGGTCCCTGAACGCCTCTCTGACTGAGCTACAGAGGCATGTATAGAATGAAATATGATTTTTAAAACTGAGTAAACTACAAAAGCTCAATTTATATTAAAGCAAACTCACGACACACGTTTTTCATTTGGCTTTAAATGTAATTCTATATATTCTTATTATATTCTTGTTCTATTAAGTCCTGTGTTTGTTGGGTTCTGTCCAATCACAAAGCTTTCTGTTACTCTGTTTATTACCTCATTGGGGGGGGGGGGGGGGTAGTATTTTGGGTTAACTTTGTGTTTGAAAAGAGTTATATAACTGACATTTCATAGCTAATATAAGTTTATCTCACATCAGTACTGATATCATTTTGGGAGGATACGTAAAATAACAGTGCAGTGCAGATATACCGATGATACGGTGAACTTCAGACGTCAATGTTATGCAAATACAAACAAAAGCAAATACAGAAAGACGCGGCAAGAAGCTGATACTTATAGAGAGGTGAAGTCCCGCCCATCTACTTCCGACCCATGGGACCTTATTTCTGAAAAGTATGTATTGAAGTCAATGGGGATAGAACACGTATCTCTCGATCCCGTTTGAATTGTGCCATGAATTACACATATGATGTTTGTCAATTTAACAAATAATTTCCATGTCAAAAAAGTCACAGTTTGTCGTAAAACTGTTGAAATATAAGACTATGAAAAAAACGCAACTAGAAAGACTACAAATCCCAGAGTCCCGGTCCCGCATGCTGGCTCTTAGGAACCGACTAACTCCCCTTGTGTGTATGTACAGCTCTCAACATGCCCAGACTTGGAGTGATTTTCACCTCTTTTAATACTTTCCGCCTCATTCTGAAAGAAAGAAGTGAAATGTGCCAACGTGACGGCCGTCTTGGTGTGTGGTGCGAGACGGGAGATGGAGTTCATTGAGCGGGTTCACACAAAAAAAGTGCTACTTCACAGTTTTACGACACATTTTTATTTTTTTGACTTGCAAAATTATCTTTTAAATTGACAAACATCATATGTGTAATTCGTGGCACAATTCAAACGGGATCGAGAGATAATCTTTCTCTCTCCATTGACTTCAATACATACTTTTTATATAAGGAAATAAGGTCCCATGGAGGAAAGGGAGGGACTTCGCCTCTCTATTATGGTATAAATGCACTTAAAGTTACCAAAGCCAGCTAACAATAAGCTAAAGGCTAACGCTTCAACTGTGAACCATTTCAAGTGTCTTGGTCGTAAAACCAAACCATATTTTACGATTCCTCTTTAGGAGAGTAGCCTTTCCTCTAAACAACAAATGTTCACTTCACATTACGGATGATTTTTTGTATGTTTTGCAGTGCTGGTGAGACGGGGTCGTGACAACAAGGCAGAGTTGGTGCTTCTGGACCACGGCCTGTACGAATACCTCAGTCCACAGTAAGATATTTCTGTTTACAGATAATAACCTCTGAGGATATTCAGCTATCTGCTCTAACTGCGACCTTTGACCCCAGCGACAGAGCGGCTCTCTGTAAACTGTGGAGGTCAATAGTCCTGCGGGATGAAGCCGCCATGGAGAGGCACTCCAGAGCCCTGGGGGTCAAAGGTGAGCTCAGGTTGATATTTTATATTCTCCTAAGGTGTGCAATACATTTGTCGGGGTTTTAAAATCTAATATCAGAATCTATTTGTCCCCCGAATATGTGAAATCTGTCAGTAACTTAAAAACTATGAATTATTTTTTTACTTTTTTAATTAAATCCACTTTGTACGAAAGCCCTGAGAGGCAAGTGAGAAACATTTTTTTAAGGTGATTTTATTTTGAGTCTTATCTGAATAGTTTACTCTGCTGTGTTTATGACCTAAAAAATATGTTTTAAGTGCCGATTTTTCACCAGTTTTGTAATCATAAGCACGTGATAGAAAACCATTTAAAATCAGACTTAATAAATCACTTGCCGGGCTCAGTAAGTCGTTTTCTTAATTGTTTTTTAGTATGCGACAAATACTGCGGCATTCAGCTCAGAAGCTACTAGTTACTTATACGGTACATATAGCCATGTGCTGCATTTCCAACATTTAGGGCTTACGTCATTCTTAAATAAAATGTTAAAGTAGGCTTACATTTTAAAAACAAAGAGACAAAGACACGTTAATAATATCAATAAAAAAATAGGTAGCAGCCTTATTATATCAGAAACGTTGCTATCAGAGACAATACAGTATGTGACACTGTGAGTGTTGCACGGCCAGATACGGCTCAGCTGACTCAGATAAGGAAATATATGATACATTATGATGTGATATGATATGAATGATAATGGGACACATCGACGTCTGCACTCACAGTGCCGCGGACTGTACGTAATGTTACTTTGATCAGGTTACTTATGTTGTGGCAGATATTTAAGTAAGCTTTCTTAACGCTAATGTTATAATAGTCAGATTGATCTGAAGATGGGAGGGGATATTCTATTAATTTTCACGTTCACACAGTCTGTGATTTGTGCCGGCCGTCTTTCCTGCAACGGCAGTTTTTCTGTATTTCCTCTATCCTGTAATATGAATTGATAGCTTTAAACTCCGCACACGGAGCTCTGATTGGTCAGCAGGCGGTGCTTTCACTGAGTTGATCTCTTAGCCTGCAACCAGTGGCGGCCGGTCCATAGGGGCGCTAGGGGCGCCGCCCCACCTCTTCCCATATTGAAAAAAAAAAAAAATTAAAATTAAAATTAAAAAAAAAAATATGTTTAAAAAAAAATATATATTTTTATTTTTATTTTTAATGAACAAGGTAAATATTATATAATTGGTATCAGTAAAATGTATAATCTACAATAAAATCTCGTTTAAAATTGTGTTACGATGTCTAAAGTTACTGATAAGTCACATGTTTCCTGCCTGGCCTTGCCCATGCACCTTCTCTCGTCTGGGCGCTAAGAGAGGAGCCTTCAACCAGTGCAGCAGCAGCCACTAGCAGCTGACTGTTGCTATCTGTAACGTGTAAACTATGCCGCGAAAATATAATTTCAGCCAATCAGCGTCGTCAAAGATGACGGTCACCGGGCGCCAATGTCAGCGCCCAGTGCAGTGAGTAGTTTGGACAGTGACTCGTATCCGGTTGACGCAGTAGTTGATGAGGATGGCTTCGTGTGCAGGTGGAGTCTCCGGACCTCGGTCCCCGCCTAATTCTGTTCAAGAGCTAATCTCCAATCCTTTCGAAAGGAGAAGTTTGGCAGATAAATTGTTGCTTAAAGACCTTGGACCGGACCAACCCGATTTGAATATATCGCAGCAATCTCGTGAAAAAGACAAAACTTATACACGAGGCTTCACAAGTAGCTGGTACACAAGAAAGGCTTGGCTAGCTGGATGCAAACAGGTAAATGCTGTCTTTTGTTTCCCATGCTTGGATATCACTTTATATGTAGAGAGGAGGTTTCCCATGGTTGTTAGAAGTTTATTAATAAGTGGGCATTTATCACAGAAGTGATTGTTCTGTCTCCACGTTTGTTGCATTGTCTGTGATGTATTTTCCAACGGTTATAGCTCCTGTTCTGTCCCAGCAACACTACACGGTTTGCAGCTCCACCACATTTTTGGTTTATCTTCGGTGTCGCTTAAAATCTGCTTCCCATCGGACTAAAACCTCCACGTAATCTGAAGACAGATACTTGAAGTTATTTAAACCTTTTGCAAACTTTATGTTCTTTCTTGCTCTAGCCTTGCCAGTTACATTGTATATAACACATATATTATCATTATGCTAAGTGGTTGTTCGTGTTAGACGATGTAGCTTTTTCATTTCTGAGTTATTGCTATATGTAAATAAGCCTGTTTGTAAATAATCCTCAGAGAAACAAAGAAAAAACACAATTTATGACATTTTGTGCTGTGGTTATTTTTTTTAAATTGCATTTATTCACAGTTCAGTTTGAAATGCTGTAGTGACTTGTATTGAACCACTTAAATATTTATAATTAATGCT